AACGGAGCCGCTCCCCGAGACAGGCGCCAGCGCTGAGACAAACCGCGAGAAGAAACACAGTAACACGGAAAAGGGGGAGAGGGGAGATAAAGCGATTCCTCCGCCGAAGAAGAGAGCAGAGGAGAGGGAGCGCGGAGAGGCTCCGCTGATAAAAGGAGGAGAGAGAAAGGAGTGGAAAGACTCCCCCGGGAGACAGCAAACAGAGACTCACTCTCTCTCCCTTCGTCACACCACCAGGATTTGATGCCCCTCAGCCTGTTCACTTCTGTGTGTTCATGTTTCCCACAGGTTTCTCTTCCCCCAACCCCCCAGCAGCAGCTCAGGAGGTCAGACCTGCCACTGATGGTAATAGCAGCAGCAGCAGCTCCTCCTGCAAGAAGAGAAAGTTAAATAACAGCAGCAACAACTCTGAGAGAGAAGAATTTGATTCCATTTCCTCCTGCTCCTCTTCTCCTTCCAAAAACAACTCCTCATCTTCCTCCGTCATCACCACGTCCTCCTGCTCCTCCTCAGGGGTTGCCTCCTCCAACCATCACCTCCAGAAGAAGCTGCGCTTTGAGGACTCCTTGGATTTTATTGGACTCGATGTGAAGATGGCCGAAGAGTCATCTTCCTCCTCCTCTCCTGCTGCCTCTTCTCAACAGCAGCACCAACAACAGCTCAAAAATAAAAGCCTTTTAATTTCTTCAGTGGCTGTGGGGCATCATGCAAATGGCCTGACCAAAGCTGCCTCCTCTACTGTTTCCAGTTTTGCCAACAGTAAACCTGGTTCTGCGAAGAAACTAGTGATCAAGAACTTTAAAGGTAACAGGCCATAATTTGTCACAACCTGTGAGGAGCTGGCGCTCGACTTTGTGTTCTGTTTTCAACATTAAAAGCGGTTGGCTTTCATATAGGTCCAGGTTTTACAGGAAATGATTTTCTGTGGTAAACATTTCTGTTTGTATGTAAAGGGGGAAATGATGTGTTATGATGCATACTTGCCCAGTCCTGTGCCTGTCTTGACTACTACAATGTGTTGCTTGGAATTGTTTTTCACTATTTTCACTCTTACCTGTTGAGGAGAAGACCTTAACTTGTAAGTTAAATGAAATATTTTACTACGTAAGTGTGTAAACCACCTTTATTCGAACTTGTAGTTTGACATTGCTTTCCTATAATTCTGATTCAGGGCGCAGTGTATAGTTTAGCCCGGTTTATGGTAGGTCTTCCCAGAAGGTTGTGGGACAGGGGTTTTTTGTTTGGGGGGGGGGGGGGGGGGGCAGAGTTGTATGTCTTGCCCCGTCTGTTTTGTCTGACTATAGGTTAATCTGTCTGTGCTTAGTTTAAATATTGAAACTAAGGTGATTATGAGGCTATTATGGCGGATTTCCTTTCCACTTCTCCTGCTTGTCTTTAAAGTAGGTAGTTCAGAATTTTGCCAGGTGTTTTTGTCGCAATATCCGTGGTGCAACTTCTACTATTTAACCTTTTTATGGCTTTTTTTTGTTGTTTGTAACCCCTCTCAACAAACAGGTGTTAGATCTGCTAAAGTATCATTAATTGAGATCAACTGAAATGGAGAAATTAAACTTTTTGCTGATGTTGCTTGATGTTCTAGTAAATAAGTTACAAATAGGTGTGGACAAAGAACTTAGTTTCAGGGACCTAAAGTCCTGTGGGTTTGCCTATAAAATGGGTAAATCGGGAGCTTTCCTGGTTTCCTACCTCTTACTATCTTCCATACTGGTCCAGTAGCTTTTTTTCCTGAGTTATGTTTCTTTTCCCCGGTATGTCTGTTTTTTGTCAGGGAGTTGTTATATCTTTTAAAGATTTTAATATTACGAAGATGAAAACTAATATATAAACGTACAGTTGATACAGATGTCCTGTAAAGATATCGCTGAAAGAAGGGCTTATTTTAGCCACTGTAATGTGTTACAGCAATTCATGGTTGCTGGGTAAGCTTTAAGGTCCTCCTGACTCTCAAGAACGTGCTCCCCTCCAATTCCCATGCTCACGTGTCATCGTCACTTAATGAGACTGATTACTTTAAATGTTGCATTGATGATGCATGATAGCGAGGAATAAAGGCCACTCTGCTGCTGCTTGTACTCTTTTATTATCTTTAAGGGAAGTCAGCTCTTCATGTTTAAAATACTTGCTAAATCTCGTCAATTGCATGTTGTCATGATCATCATTGCTTATGAATTGGTATTTGAATCACTTGAAAATCTAGCAACTCTGTGTTTTATTTATTCTCAGATCCCAAGCTGAATATTTTTAATATGCCTTTATCTGTGATAGAAATAACATCCTTTACAACCTGTACAACTTCCTAAAATTCAAAATCCTACTATTTGCTGTTGAGTAGCTCACTTGCTAATTGCTAGTGAAAACAAGCAAGTTTCACTTGTGTTTAACTGTCTCTGCAGATTCTTGTGATGCAAGCGATGTGGGGGTATTGCCAGTATTGTAGAAGAATGCTTGTTTTTGGGGAAAAAGGAAACCCTACTTCGCTTCATTTGTTATTTCTGGAGAAATCATGAGGCTGTAGATTTTTGGTTTCTTAATGTTTAAATAGGTAGAAGTTGATTTTAATACAGTATGAACTCTGGGCCAATTTAACCTATTGGTGGCATGGATGTACGTGTGACTTTCCCCCTAAATTCTCTCCTCCTTCCCTCTATCAGAATAGAGCTATGTGAGCAAAATTTGAGCTATGTGAGCACAAGAGAGGGCTTAACTCTCTTAAAAACCCACTGGCTAAGCCCAAGAGAGACATCACTGAATTAGTTCAAAGTAGGAAGGTTTTCTTGGCAACCATAAAGCCAGTAATATAATTAAGCATTTCCATGTATGTTTCTTAGGGGTTTCCTTCCAAGTGTTTATACAGAGTAGAATTAATAAGCAGTAAACTTAAAATATCGTATACACAACTATGTGTTTTGGAATACTGATTATATTGATATCGCTTTCTTAATCCACCGTGTTCAGCTTTTACGTGACTTTCTCGTTCTTTCAGCTGTGCTGTCGTGATAGTGAAAAAGTGTGACGAAGATGCAGACTGCTGCAAGTCACAGTACTGTGATTTTTTTAACTCATGCCTATGGTTTGGGCTATGGGTGCTGTAAAGTGTACGTGAAACAGGGTGATGTGAAGAGTAACAATGAATATTTACAAGACGTTACTGTTTCAAATGTAAACCAGATACTGCTTTTACACTAATGCTTTTTATTAATTTGTGTATAAGTAAAAAATAAGAGCATCAATCTATACTTTTTTCTTCAAAATAGTATTTTTCATTTCTGTAAAAGGTAAAATGTTCTGCTCTTACTAAATACTTTCTCAAACTCTATATAATTTTTTTTTTTTTTTTAAGATAAACCCAAATTGCCTGAAAACTACACAGATGAAACTTGGCAAAAACTGAAAGAAGCTGTAGAAGCTATCCAGAACAGTACTTCAATTAAATACAATTTAGAGGAGCTCTATCAGGTAAGTGTTTTATTTAAAAGTTTTTGTATTTTGCTTAAAAATAGTTTTGAGACAATAAGGTAAACATGACATTTTGCTTGACAGTTGCTGTTCTAGCTGACAAACTTCTCTTGCAACAGGTACTCAGATTTTAAAATTATTGGTAAACGACTTGAAAGACCTGAGGTTGAACTAAGGTTTTTTTTTATTTGCCATAAACATAATCTAAGGTATGGTTTCCCTTGCAACAGCTGACAAAAATTAAATAAGGCAAGGAGCTGTATTCTCTTTAATGCTTTTGTGGTGTGTAGGCGCTAAAGGAGAAGCATGAAATCCTGAAATGCTCCTATTTAGGTTTAAAAACAAAAAAAGGACAATTTGGATTAAAATGTAATCCTGTGTCTGAAGAAAATCTGCTCATGATTAAGGATCATAAATAATTGCATTCATTTAAAAAACAAAACTCCTTATTTGACTTAAAAGTTAGTAGAACACCATTTTTCTTCCCGAATTGTATTGTTTTGGTTTGATTGTCATTGATTATTAGAGTTCTGTATGTTTTAACAACTGAGAGTCACAATTCATTTATTCCTAATAATAGTGCTGATTGTTTTGCTCTAAATGTTTTCAGAAGTGATCAGGCTTTTGAACTGCATCTCCCAATTTTTTTACAGGCTCCACTTCTGCTTTCTCAGCTTAATTTGTTAGAGAAACACCCACCCACCCCCAGCTTCCTAGCACTTGCCTTTTTTTAGTGTCTTAGTAACAGTGCTGCCTTAGCTAGCTATTAGGAAGTGCTTACTTTTTTTTTAATTGCAGTTTTAAAGCTTTTGTAACCAACTTGTTTGTTGGATTGGTGTCTGTGCATATATATGCTTCTCTTCATCTGTTTTAGTGTCTTGTCTTCCACTGTTCCTTCCTGCTTTGAATAAAAATGTATTTGAATGTGATTGACTTCTATGAAAAGGTAGGAAAAAATCCTGTTTGCACAACATTTGAAGACAGATTTAGGGAAAGGCAAATTGCTCTTGACATGGGCCAATTTCCTCTGCCCAGGGCGCTTTTAAGCTTAGGGTATTCTTGTGTAATGTTCAGCTAATTTAAAAATAGCTTCTTCTGAGTTTCTTTTAAACGAATATGTGATATTGTAAAAAAAAAAAAAAAAAAAGTTATTTCTGCAGTAGGTGGTGAAACTAGTAACAAGTTACAATCCGCTGTAGTTGTTTCAAGTAAAAATGACTTGCTCTAAACTGAACAACAGACCAAATAATTATTAATGCAGTACTGGAAGGATAAACAATATTGGTTAAAGATGCACAGTTTTATTGAAAGCCTTACTTCTGCTTCAAAGTTTTCACTTAAATTTCTGCTCTTTTGCCCCACAACCTAATTTTATTAGTGTTTATGCTCAGAAAATAAAAGATAAGCTTTCTTTTTTAAATCTCCATTTTAACATAGCGATAACTTAGATACATTTCAAGGAAGAAGAAGAATTTCATACTCGATTACATCCTGTTTATTATAAACCTTAAGAAAGTTTTAATTTAAAAATAGTAATAGCAGTCACTAGTGTTTTTAAACGCTAACTGAACTAATGCCGTTTCTGAACAGCTGCTTGGTAAATAGATCTGATTCCAAATATTCCTTGGCAGACACCATTATCCAAGTATAGAGGGGAATAGCAAAAGAATCTGCAAAAGTTCCTGCTACGTACCTCAAAATAAGGTGGTGGTGGTGGTGGTTTTTTTTAACATAGTTAAGCTTCTTGAGTTTTGTTTAACTCTTGTATGTGTCAGTAAAATTCCCATAAGGAAACATTTTGAGACTTGATTTCTTTGTGGGCTCTTAGCTTTTTACTCGTTTTTCTCCTCCTCAACAAGAGAAATAATACATATCTGAGTAGCCAAAGCACTACAGAATTGAAAGCTTTCCACAAGTGCTTGCTTCCTAGAATGATTTTCCTTCCCTTAGTACCAGAAAGTAAAGGTCTTGTAAAGCTCTGGTGCCAGCTCCCTACTTAAAATACATACTTTTTTTTTTTAAATCATATTTAAGTACTTCCAGAAAGTTCTGATGTTCTCTTATCAGTGCAATGTTCTTTTTTTGTACTTTCCCCAACACAAAAACACAAATACAGATGCTGCAATTAACAAAACAAAATGTTATTACACGGTGGAAAAGTGACACTTTGCCTTCAGATGTCTTAACCATCCTCAGGGCAGTTTCCCTGATCAGGAACCTTTATTCCACTAATTCAGAATACGATAATTCTGTGAACTACAGCTCCTGAAGTTGTCAGAAATTTTTGATATATTACAATTATCATTTTGTAACATCAGTAATTACACTTGCACACATAACATTTTAGTAGTGTTGTTATGCTCCACAGAGTGAGTTTTACTTTAGTGCTTAGACAATTTATCCTCTACCAAAAAAAAGTAATGTCAGTAGCTCAGGCTGAACTCACAAATTAGAACGTCCACAAAAAATGTTTTAACTTCAGTGAAGATCCAGGAGGCTTGTGCTTGATGTTCATGTGTGTTTTAGTATCTGAGTTTTTGATGTTTAACGTTTTGGAATTTCTGATACACAAATGCAAAAGCACAGCTGTATATAAAAATCACAGAATAAGTGCATATTAACATATGTTAATGAGTACGTGTGTTTTTCCATCTACAGTGCAAAGACTAAATTCTTCTAGGGATTAGAGCAGCATGATTTAAGTAGTACTTGTTTTGAACTATGAAAATGTAGGTAGTTGAGATTGGATGGACTGACCAGAAATTTTTACGTATAAAGTACAGCAAAGTAGTGGTGTCATAGCCTACTAGTTAAAGTGAGACTAACGGGGGTTATGTAGGTGACTAGCAAGTTTTATCCAAAACATTCATCTTTCCAGCTCTGTTGGCTTCTCCCAAATAAGTAAGTGAAAGGAAGAAATCTATTTGTTGCACTTCTTTGAAGGTCTAATCAAACTCTTTAAAATTAGTGTTTTCCATAGACTTTTTCTTTTAAAATCAAAGTAGCATTTATTTCCTGTGGTTTTGCCGCTGTCTCATTTAGAACCTGACCCTATGTACAACAGAAGAATCAAGCTGAGCACTGTCAGTAACATGCTCTGAACGATGAACTGTACAATATGTTTTCATCACATGATTATATTTGTTTGGGATTTCTTAACTGAGGGTTGAATTTGTTGCTATTTCCAAATATTAAGAGCTATATACTTCAGCAGTAATTAAGTTCTGGCTTTCCTAATAATCACCATTCAGAGCTTAAGTACTTAGCTTGTATTTGTGTGTATCAGTATTCAGGCAATGCCCTTTTGGTCTTAACTGGTACGCTTACTCTCTTATTATATCTGTTTGTTTCTGCCAATAAGCTTATGCACGCTTGGTTTTCTCTTGGAGTTTTCTGTTTCTTAACTCCTCTATGTCCCAGAGCCGATATTAGCTGTCGTGCACTTGCTTGACTGTGTTGTTATTTCCACCCCCGGAATCGTTCTTGTTGATATTCTGGGACAAACTGGGGAACACCTTGATTAGATCTTTTGATTGTTACTCTGCTCCACTCTAGTGATGGCTGTTTATTGTTTGCTGATTGTTTCTATATGGACGGCTGGGGGACTTCAGAATAATGGAGTAGATAAGCTATGTAGGCTTCTGGACTACGTTGTTACTGCACGGTTGCCTACGGCTGCTGGGGAATGAACTTGATTTTCCAGTCTACTGTTTCCATGAGTTGGTTGTACTGGCAATTGAAATTTATAAATAAATAAATAAAAGCAGTAGTTGAAAATCAGTTATGTCTCTCTCCAGCTTCAACAGATAAGTTTTACAGAATAATTACATATTGTCTGTTTCTTTCTCACCCATCCACAGAGTTAAGATTGCTAAGGTGCTTTCCAAATCTGGGCAATTGATATAATTTGTGGAAAAAGTCTGAGTTAAGCTTATGGATTCTTTGAACGTTTGCTTGCTTGCTTGATCCCTCTCTAAGACATGTCCCCATTAAACTTTTTGCTTCTTGCTTAAAATCACTTGCGAAGAACAAAGACAGTTCTCCTACTCTGTAATTATGATCTAGAAATAGGACATTTTTCTGTTGTCAGTCTAAACATCTGGAATACAACTCTACTGCTAAAAATTGTTCAGAACTAAAACTGAATTGATTTAGGCAAGGGTTAAGGAATACATATACGTATGTGCGCGCGTGTGCACACACACACACACACACGCTTTTGGGATTGAGGGGAAGTTTAATCAAGGTAAGGATTGCAAAAGGTGTAACACCAGCAGTGCTTTTCTACCAACGTTAGTGTGGTTTGCAAAGCACAGCAGTTAATAAAATTAAGACCTCAAGTGTCTGCCTTGAAGTATTAAACCCAGCATGCTGCTGAAACATATTAAACTAACATCCTCGTTCTCTGAGAGGCAAATCTTTTAGTTCTTAATTAGATACCAATATTCCAACTGAAATTAATAAGCGCTTAGAGTCTAAGCTGCTCAGGGCATGGCTCTGTTTGTCTCTTATTACTGTATAGTGCCATGTATCTCTCTGGAGTTTTGCGCGCAACTGAGAAGTATGTTAAAATTTTGAGTTAGTAATTTTTCAGTGAGAACCAGAAGAATTCCGTGTCTCTCTTCCCCTTTCTTTGTAAAACCACATGTGAGAATACAAAGAGATTTCTTAGTGTCTGTTTCTCTTTACTTTAGGCTGTTGAAAATCTCTGCTCCTACAAGATTTCTGCAAACTTGTATAAACAATTGAGACAGATCTGTGAAGACCACATTAAAGCACAAATTCACCAATTCAGAGAATATCCTTTTTTAATTGCTGGCAAGCCAGAATGCTTTTCACCTGCCAGTATGTGGTGATAAATTTCTTTCACTAGTTTAGATTACCACTGCTTAGTGTCATAAACTCCCAAATTTTGCATAATTGGGTCTATTTTCATTTTTGCAGTGTTCTCTCTGAGGTCCTGCTAGTTCCTTTGTGTCTGTAACCATTTAACGTTTGTGAGAAAGTTTCATTAGTATTTATAAAAACAGTTTGTCATGTTTTCCTAGAAGCTCAAAAGAGACTGGGCTATAAAATAGCTGTTTGCTGTATCACTTCGGGGTTTTTAGTATGTCGAAGTAACCTTGCGGAGGTAAATGGTCTTGGAAAAAGTGGTCGTGGACAAATTAGTTCCTCTTTTCTGTTTAAAAACTATTAGTGGTCTGAAAGCCTATTATGTGAACATTTTATTTATAAAGTTTGGAGTTGAATCATACTGAAATCATGTTACGTTGGATATTAAAGAGACTCTGTTCGTATTAGAACTATGCTAGAAACTGAGTGCAGGTCAAATTTTGTGGAAAGAATGTCGTTTATCTCTAAACGTGACCTGAAACTGTAGTGTCTGTGTAGTGGTAGACTCTTGCATGTATTGTGGGTTGTTGGTTTTTGAGGTTTGGGGGTATCTTGGGTTTGGAGCGGGGGAGGAGAGACTGGATGAAACACTCGAATTAATTTAGATCCTTTTTAAATAATAGCTCGAATACTTTTGCTGTTATCAGAAAATGCTATTGTGTTAACACCAGGACCCTCATTAAAAATAAAACTAAACATTTTGGAAAAAAACTTAAGTGTTTCTATCTGGTAGTAGGTAAGTTTGTGTACTCTGTTAAATGTCTGCTATTATTTAAAAAAAGAAAAAGTAATGTTGGTTCATTTCACTGCTTACACTACCTAGTAATCATGATTTTCTTAATGATCTCTTCATGGATTCATTGGATAGTGTCCTTTTTCTAAAGAAAATAGACAAATGTTGGCAAGATCACTGCAGACAAATGGTAAGGTTTTTTCTTCTTTTTCTCTTTAAAGAAAATCCATTGCATAGTCCACTCAATGTTTTGCTTATCCCTTTTCCTTTATAGACACGCTGTGCTTCTGAAAGGCTTCTTTGTGAAGCAAAATTGCGTCTAGTTCATTAGAAATCTTGCCTTGAAATACTTGTCTCTAGAGTATTTCTGGACACATTGGTCTGATCTTGGTGGGGGGGGTGGAATCTCTTAGCTGTTGCTTCTATGCAAACTTTTTTCCTTTTATAGGTATTATAGAAGGAGCTATTCTCCTCTTATAGAGAAAGATGCTAAATGTTATATTGATCATATCACTGAGATCAGTGGAATATTTTAAACAAATCAAAACTGTCTAACAGAGCACTGCCCAAAACTTGTCAGTGAGTTTGTTGTTGTTGCTGTCGAGCACAAGTTGTGTTGCTCTTCAGTTTCAAGAGTAAAACGATTGTGGTTTTTTTCCTTTTCATAACAGATCATGATTAGAAGTATTTTTTTGTTCTTGGATCGAACTTACGTACTTCAGAATTCAATGCTGCCGTCTATTTGGTAAGGGCAAGAAGAATAACATTGAAGGAGGAATGCTTGAATTATCCTGTACTATCTTGCTGTTGGGCAGGGTTGGTTGGGTTTTTTGGGTGTGTATGTATATATACATATTTGTATATATACATATGTACTCGTGTATATATACATATGTACTCATATATATACACACACACATATATATGAAACTTTCTAGTGACCAGTGAATTAGATGATGAATACAGGGCTGCATGTGGCAAAGGGTGATTGTATTTTCAATCTACTTGCCATGAATTGCAGGATTCTTCTAGTATAGCTGTGATTGCAAATTTCAGCTGAGTCGTTATCAACCTCTAGTTTGCACAGTAAAAGAAAGGGAAGCACCAGGGTTCGGCTTGCCAGTTATTGGCTTGAACGTACCTAGTTATTGAAAGTTCTTTGAGTATTTTTGAAGAGGAAAAAATACTTAAAATCAGAGCAAGTTATTCCTGTTTGGACTTCAACCCTTCTCTCTCTTTCTAATATTTTAATTATTAGCAAATGTCCTACAGTGCTTTTACCACATAGCATTTGCCCCTTCACTGGGAAGTAAACTATGTGAGTTACTTTGTTTACCACAGACTGAAGGAGTGGTGAATGGAGGGCCTGGCTTTTCTAAAAGTGTCCAGCACCGAACAATTTTGAGTTCATGGAAGGTTTTGACTGGGATGCCCAAAGGAGAGATCCCTGTCTTTCAGTTCACGGAGTTCTTCAAAGCTCCGTCCAAGAGAATTTGATATTTGAAAGTGATGGACAAAAACGAGTATTGTCAAAGAGCTTAAAGATGGAATTGGGATTCAGGATATTATTCTCCATTCCTAGTGTAGGCTGCTGTTCATTCAGTTTCAGTTATCCTGCCAACTAGGTGAAAAATAAAACTGCTGCGAAAATTAGGCGGTTATTTAGGAAAAACGTACGTGTTAGTCTTTAAAATCTGTGGTTTACTGTTGATACTTTGTCAAGGTTTCTTTTAGTGTGCGTGTGTTCGTTCATCCTGTGAGTGATTTGACAGCAGAGGAGTGAGGAGTTTGAGGGATGTGTGTATGTATTGGGTTCTCCATTTGATCTAGATCAAGTGTTGTCAATAAGATCATTTGGGGTTGATTCTTACTTAATTTATTGAAGAGGCGTTATTTTCTTTCTAGGGATATGGGGCTAGAATTATTCAGGACTCATATAATTAGTGACCAGAAGGTTCAGAACAAAACTATCGATGGCATTCTTCTACTGATTGAGAGGGAAAGAAATGGTGAGGCTATTGACAGGAGTTTACTGCGAAGCCTTTTAAGCATGCTTTCTGACTTGCAGGTAAGTAAATTGTTTCATCTGGAAACAAATAAACAGCTTGGATTCATATTTAGAGCTCAGTAAGCTTTACCTGGATTGCCATCATGTTATTTCCATAGATCTATCAAGATTCTTTCGAACATAGATTCTTGGAAGAGACTAACCGTCTGTATGCAGCAGAGGGACAGAGGCTTATGCAGGAACGAGAGGTATTTTGAATGTTTAACAATACTTGTTATGCCTAGTAATGAAACATTCCTCAAGGAAAGGAACTATGCTGCTGCTGTATCCAGAATATTATGCTCACTGAATAGTGCCATATATGAGTGTACTGGGCAATGATATGACTTTTATGTTTTATAGTACTCAGGGAAAGCGAATTCACCTACAGCTGCCTTCATGGTGCTATTACTTTCTGCTTAAAACTGGAGTTGGTGCTGCTGTCAAACCAGTATTTCCAATATATTTTTTCCCTCTTTTTTTTTTTTTTTTTTTTTTTTTTAAACATACAAAACTGCTTTGACATTTTCAGGTTCCAGAATATCTTCATCATGTCAACAAGCGCTTGGAAGAAGAAGCAGATAGGATAATCACTTATTTAGATCAGAGCACGCAGTAAGTGCAATCTCTCATTGTTTTGTATCTTTAACTGTTTGGCTCTGTTTCTGTTGGGGGCCACCTACTAGCTGCAATTTATTTCAGTTATTGGTTGATTGACCATCAAATGCTTCTTTCCCACAGTTCCCTGATAATAGTAAAGCACCGTCTTGCTTCACACAACTTATTCTTATAAGCTTCTACTTCTTTTGACATGAGAGTTGGGCATTTGTTGGAGAAATACAGGTTGCCACCCCCAGTCCAAACATCTCTCTTGCTAAAATGCAAATAATCAGCTGGATCTTTTGCCTACCTGGAAAAGAGAGGACCAGGGATAGAGATTTCTCAAGTAAAAGCCTCTGAATATTTACATAAGACTACTTCTATATTCTTAATAGAGTGTGGGGAAATAATAATGTCAGTCTTCAATCTTTGCTACTTAAAGGTAGGATTTTCTCGAATAGAATCAGGTGGAAGTCATGACTGATAGGGTAGGAGAAATTTCTCCTAATGTAAAGCCACAGCAGTCGTGGCTGAGAGGAGATGCAGGTCAGTAGTGTAACAGCTATTTGAACGAGTGGTAGCAACTTCTTAAAGAGCAGCTACAGAGGATCTCTCTGAGGGGAAAGTGCTTTGTTGCTACCTTCTTACATTTTGATTTCCTTCCTCCTTCAGCTATTAAGAACTTTTGGCTTGGCTAGTGGCTTCCTCCTTCCACACCATCATTAGTGGCCAGCTCCCTGTGTTGTTTTGATATCTCTTGGGTCAGCAAGCTTTTTTGGCTTTTTTTTTTTTTCCTCCTCTCCTTGTTTTCTGTCTCCCAAGACATGAATCTCCTCTCACAAGGCAAGAGAGGGTATATTCCTTGACAAACTTTTTGCCCAATTTCTTCTCTGATGGAATCATTATCCAGCTGCTTAGAGGTCACGTACAGCAGGTTTGATGTGTAAATTAAATCTTTAGTCAGCAAACATTAAAAAGGCTGCTTCCTGGGGAGGAAGAAGTATAAATATGTATGTATTCATTTTAGGTCCTTGGCCACAGATAATTAGAGCCCTCCCAATGCCAAGTGTAGTTAATGTAATCTCAAAAAAGGATTTTAAACTGTCAATAATGGAAAAAGGAAAAGTAATTCTAAACGTTTTTTCTATAGGAAGCCACTAATTGCTACTGTAGAAAAGCAACTTCTAGGTGAACATTTAACAGCCATTCTTCAGAAAGGTAATCTTTCTTCTTTATAGAAATGTTTCTAATTACTGCTTCGGGGCTTTCAATTCCTGTCCTGAAAAGAAAGTGACAGATTCGGGTGCTGGGGGAGGACACAAGCTACATCATTCTTTAAAGCCCTTTGCCACTCAGTTCATGAAATAGCACTGACCATTTTGCAAGAGGGCAAGCGCAATTCTCCTTGTCAGAGGTAAGGAGCCACAATGGTATCTTCAGGTAAATAGCAAAACAAACAAAAAAAACTAGAATAAGGGTTTCTGAATTGAATGTGCTAAGTAGCATTTTGAAGAATAGACGTAAGGGAGTGGCCTTTGAATTATGGCTGTACGAGAAAGAGGAAACTTCAATTACTTGCTGCTTATAAAATGCAGCTTGTTTAAAACTTAGTACAATTCAAGCAATGAAGAATGTTACCTCAGCTCTGCAATTGTTTCTGTGGAGTCAAGTGACCCTTTGTTGCTCTAAGGGATAGTCTAGAGATAAATATGAGTGTAGCAAAAATGGAATAATAAGAAAGTGATCAAGTTCTTACAAGCCAGATTCTGAGTGAAACAGCTGTGTGAGCATCTCCATGTAAATCTGTAACAGACTCTTTCTATTTACTGAGAGGGGTGTCAAGTTAGCAAATTTACCCATCTACTTTCTTAGAACCTTGCTATGGAGCATCAAGCCTTCTCTCCCAAAAACTTAAACGTGAAGATATTTCTTGGCTACTTGAACCTCCTTGCCTTTAAAATCTGCAGAGTTTATTTTCTAGCTGGAATTGAGAGTCAGAGCTCTGTCTCGCCAGGGAACGTTCCTTACTGATCAGCAGAGCATAAACTTCTCAAATCTTTAGGGAACACTGAAGTAAAAGTAAGCCACGGTGTTGCGATAAGTCTGCTATGTAAAGTGCATGTAGTCCAAGATATCAGACAGCTGCTAAGGTTTGAGCCAGTTCAGATAGCCATTCTGTGTTTCACTGTTGTCTTTCAGATAAATTAGGTAATTTTCCAAAAAACCTAATTGCTTGATGAAAAAAATACTAGCTTTGAAGAGATTCCTTCCTGTAGTAGTACGCTGTGTTCTCTTTGGATTACTGTATGTTAGTAACTTCTACTGAAATTCTCTCATTTGCAGGTTTAAACCATCTCCTTGATGAAAACCGAATTCAAGACCTGTCTCTTCTGTATCAGTTGTTCAGCCGGGTGAGAGGCGGAGTGCAGGTTCTCTTGCAACACTGGATTGAATACATAAAGGTACTGTTTCTGAGGCTCTTGAACAGGTATCCCTATTTTATTGATGGGATTTACATACAGATATTTAAATCATCTCTAGATACTAGACTGCATTTTTCTAAGCATTAAAGGCTATTTCTTGCTTATAATTATATATTTAATAGGCAGCCTTTGAAACTGTACTGGGTAAGCGACAGTAACTGTTCTAGTAGTATTGAAGAAAGTATTGAATGCCATCAAAACACATCTGAAATTCTTCTCTTGTTTGTAGCTAGTTTTGGGGACAACTAGATTTCTTCCATAGATTTTACTGGTAATGGGAGAACGTTTCTATCACTTCCCTGCTAAAATTTCTTGTCAGAATGTGTGGTGGTTGTTGTGAAGGAGTGCTTTCTAATGTCATAGAGTTAGTATTAGATAAAGTTTACTTCAGTGGGAGCTTTACCTGTGTAAAACCTGAGGATACAGATGTTTTAAAAGGACGTGTTACGCAAGTTTATTTCTTCTGACAAAGGTTCTGAATCTGTTCATTTATTGACAGACTGGTTTTGAATCAAAATGTTAGGTCTAATATTAATCTCTGTTCTCTCTGATTATATAGCAAGTACTTTATAGTGCTTTTATTTCTATTGTATTAGTAGAATAAATGAGACTTTACAAATAAGACTTGATAAAGATAATTTAGGCTTTTAGAAGTCTTGTCACTTAAATTCATTACTTCAGACTGATTGAAGGATGTGTTTTATTTTGCAGGCATTTGGTAGCACCATAGTAATCAATCCAGAAAAAGACAAAACTATGGTCCAAGAACTACTTGATTTTAAAGATAAAGTTGACCATATTATTGATGTTTGCTTTCTCAAGAATGAGAAGTTTGTAAACGCCATGAAAGAAGCATTTGAAACATTCATTAACAAAAGACCAAATAAGCCAGCTGAACTCATCGGTATTTTTCTTCAGTTTCTTCCCATGTGAGAACTGGGGTGGGGGGACAGGCAGGAACAGCTGATGCAGCTTAAATAGATGAGCTACGGTGGAATTAAGTATATTAAGACATTACGCTCAATATAACATCAAACTGTGGGACTGACTGTGCCCTTATTATGCAGATGAATTGTTTGATAGGATACCATTAAACATCATGAATGACCTCTGTTCACCAGTTCACTGGCAGTGCGAAAGAAAAGTAACAAATATTAGCATTAAGGTATTCCAGCAGTTGCCTGGTGCTCAGATGAGATGACACAGGGGAGAATACTTTTAATAATTTGATTTTTCAGGAGCTTACATAATTGTGCTGCTATAAGGGGCTCCAGACAATTATTTATTTTTTTACATATAAAAGCGAAGAGGGATAAGGATACACACTGCACCCATAATCTCTATCGTGTTGTGGGGACAGAGCCTCTGTAGTTTGCAAAGAACATTGTTTACGGATTTGTATATTTTACGCCTGGTGCTCTGTGCTCCTGAATAGCTTAATTGTTTCCCTGCACAGTGCATAACACCTGTTTTGCTCTTTATTGTGGTGCTAGGGGTGTGGAGTAATGCTTTCTGCCCTTCTTTTTTTTAAATGAATTCACTAATTGTAATGTGTTTACCAAACCATTTGAAATTAAAACAAACTGTAACCTTCTGGAGAAATTAGGCAGTTTATTCAAGTTCAATAACTAAGTTTCACTGATTTTTTTATTCTAGATAATGTTTTTTTCACTTTTATTATAATTACGTCAATCTATAACAAAATTGACTTTTTACTTTGACATCATAATATGTACCAGGGTTTGTTTTACATTGGTAAATATCTTTACCACTATGTACATTAATAAAGCTAGGCTACTGTAATCGCTTACCTGAAAGGGGACATTAGGCTGTAGCATTTTTATAATTTTACAGCATCTATGAAAATATATCAAACTAGCTGTGGTGAAACTGATTTGAAGGTGTAACTTCAGGATCCTTTACATTTCCAATGGATCTTATAAATATTAGATTTAAACACAAATAAAAAATTAAATTGCAGTTTCGTTTGATAGTAAGTGTATGTTAAATTTTTTATTCCTTAACTATTTTTAGCTAAATATGTAGATTCAAAGCTTCGTGCAGGCAACAAAGAAGCTACTGATGAAGAACTTGAAAAAATGCTGGATAAAATCATGATCATATTTAGGTTCATATATGGTAAGTGTTATTTTTTTTGTGTGGGTACAGTTGTTTAATCAATAACATAAAGATACTTTGAAATCTTTTTTGCCACCAGACCGCATTTTTAAGCATTCAAACTCTGTAGGGACAGTTTGCTGGTGTTGTGCTTTTTAACTAGCATGTGTGTTAGAATGTCGATAACAAAACCTGACTCATGAGCTATTGAGATCTTAACGTGAAGGTCCTTGTTAGCTTTGCTGAGCTTTGAATTGTGCCCTTTGTAGGCAATATTTGTTTAAAAGTTCCCAAAGATCTTTGTGATCATTGTCAAATCTCATCTCTTACAGGAAAAGATGTGTTTGAGGCGTTTTATAAAAAAGATCTAGCAAAGAGGCTACTAGTTGGGAAAAGTGCATCAGTAGATGCTGAAAAATCGATGCTTTCCAAACTCAAACATGGTAAATACCTATACTTCTTCTAGCTTGCTCTCTTTCTTTTTTAAAAGATTAGTTTAAATGAACTTCCCAGAAGGGCTGTTCATTTTGCCCTGCTCATAAGAGGGCAGAATTCTTTGTGAGAAGTCTTGAATGACTCTGGTATACTTGAGAAGCTTTTAGTTTAGTAATTATAGCAGCAATAGGCAAAAATCAGGAGCTTTAAGCTCACTGTGTCTTGGCCTTTGGAGTAGACTTGAGGTGTTTCTGCAGAAAAAATCAGTGATGTATTCAGAGAACTTGAGAATCACTTTTTCCTCTTGTCGCTTACTCCATATAAGATTTGAAACATGAAACTGCCAGCTAGCGGTCTTCTAGTCTGGTCTTCATTGCTTCATAGTATGGAGTCTGTGTGATATAGAATAAGATTTTTATAACTTGATCTTGATTAACCATCAAGAGACAAGGTTTGCCAGGCAGCTAATTAAAATTAGAATTACAGTCTGAGTGACAAGTTGTCAGTGGAGTCTTAGTATGTTCGAACAGTTTTGTTTGTGTGGAAAAACAGTTGGGCTGCAAAATGGCTGCCACATTAAGCCATATTCCCCCCCCCCCCCCCTTTTTAAATAAACTTATTCTGTGTCTTAATTGGAATTTAGGTCTTTAAGAATATTTGCCGAAATAGCTAAGAATATTTGCCGAAATAGCTTTTTTTGCATCAAAGTGCATTCTGGTATTTAGAATAACTACTCTATGGTGTTGAAAATAAGCAAGATATAACTTTTAGGAATGAAATTTCCTCTCTTGTAGAATGTGGAGCTGCTTTCACCAGCAAACTTGAAGGAATGTTTAAAGATATGGAGCTTTCAAAAGACATAATGATACAATTTAAACAGGTATTGCTGGAAAGCCTGCCATGGCTCCTTCATTTACTTTGTGTTTTGAATGAATTATTCTCAAAAGGCCTAATATGAGGGTGCAGGATGACTTTAATTGTAAATGTTTCTATTGTAATTGAGTTAAATTCCTTTCAAATTACTTTTATTGTCTGTAATGCTCTTTCACTACAGAGAAGAAGGATTTGTAGGTGATTGCTTTCAAAGGGAGCAGACAAAAGCCCAATGAGGAAAACGGCTCCTACTGAAAATCAGTGGGAATTGATTAATTCCTGTCTGTACCTTTGGAAAATTTTACTGAATTTATTAATAGTTTTCCTGAACAACAAAGTAGAAAACCTGGAACAAGGAGCTGCTTCTTTTAATAATAGCGTGAAGGTATTAAAAGAAGAATTATAAATTCATGAAACATTTTTAACACTACTGTATTTCAATGGAACTGGCTCCTAAGTTCAGTGGTTTAGTCAACCAGGGATGCCAGGAGAATACTTCTGCCCATTAGTTTTGACGATTCCTTAATATTTTGATTACAAGCGAAGTTTAAACTTCCTTTCTTTAATTCACACACCTTATAATTAGGTACATCTTCACATCGACCTGCTAGAACACTTTTTTTGCCGGGGGATTTTCCTCTGAAGTGCCTTTAAGAACATCTGAAAGGCGTTTCCTCTGACCCTAGTTTTCTTCCGTGTAACTTGCTTTTTGGATAGCAAAGACATCATAAGATCGTTTACTTTCTGTGCAGGTCACACTCAATACCTGTTTTTACTAGCTTTTCAGCTGTACCTGAAGTAAATTTAACAAACGTTGCTTTATTGCAATTTGCTTGCTTCTTTCTGCAGTATATGCAAAATCAGAACGTACCCGGAAACATTGAACTAACAGTGAATATACTGACTATGGGTTACTGGCCTACCTATGTGCCTATGGAGGTCCACTTGCCCCCAGAGGTAATGACTACACACATAGTATATCCAGTGTTTGCATATCAGTAATGCATCTTGATATCAACCAGCAACTTTTAAATATGCATACAATCTTTAGGAAGTATCTCTTTAAATAAAGCTTGCTCCCTTTTTTGTATTTCCCTTTATTTTTCTAAGCCTTTATTTAAGGCTCATTTGATCATGAGAGAGGGAGGTATGCTTTTAAAGTGGAATTTGTTTTGTTTTTAGATGGTAAAACTGCAGGAGATTTTCAAGACCTTTTATTTAGGAAAACACAGTGGTAGGAAACTTCAGTGGCAGTCAACACTAGGACACTGTGTACTAAAAGCAGAATTTAAAGAGGTGAGTGTCTTGTTTCCCTTTTATTCCTGTTACTTTGTCAGTTCTAAGTTTCTGGGTGGTACCTTAGGGATATATAGGAAAGCTTTTTTTGCTGTCATGAAAAACTTAGCACTGTTTTTGCGTTTACTCTTAACATATGACTTCTTGCTATCATCTCTGGATATGGTAGTTTCTGAAATAGATGTGTTAAGGTGTAAGGAAGAAGCATTTGATTTCTGTATTAAGGGAGAAAAAAGTCGTTAGTTACTGCTTGGGGAAAATATCATGTGGTTTGGTTCCGTATTACAAATGACACTACTTTTTTTTTTTTTTTTAAATACTGAAAATTGGACTTTGTTCCGTAGAGCACTTTGCTTCATTTGACAATATTAAGCATGTTTACTATAGGCTCTTCACTACTAAAATAAATAAAAGTTTTGGATTGCACAAGAATATAACTGTTTTTAGAGGGTTTCCAATTACTCCCCTTCAATATTTCTTCATTGGCACGAGTATATTTCAAGAAAAAAATCTCTTACTTACCTGTTCTATTTTTCAGAAAAACGTTAATGATAGAACAAGTATTATCAAACCTGGTTATTTCAAAGATCCTTTAGTTCCTAATACTGTGTTTTTAAACTAATGCTTGTTTTAATCTTTGGATTAAAGCTGTTTCAAACTGTAGTTCTAAACACTTAATGGCTTTGGGATTTTTTTTGAGTATGTTGATGCATATCTTAGTGAGTTTTGTCAGTGGATGTGATATTCTAACCTTCTGAGCGTTTATTCTGCGTTTCACAGTTAACACAAGATAACCAGTTCCTCTTATTCTTTCATATTCCCAAATGAATAAAATAGCAGTCACTTTCTCTAAGTGACCTTCCCCCCCCCCCCCCATTAACTTCCTTTTTCTACGTTTCTTTGTGACAGGGCAAAAAAGAGCTTCAGGTCTCCTTGTTCCAGACACTGGTGCTGCTCATGTTTAATGAAGGAGAGGAGTTCAGTTTAGAGGAGATAAAGCAAGCCACTGGGATAGGTTGGTATTGAAAACAGCTGACTACTTTCAAATACTCTTGACTTGAAATACTAAACAACTTGTTTCTGCTTTAGAGGATGGAGAGCTGAGAAGAACACTTCAATCTCTGGCTTGTGGCAAAGCCAGAGTACTGACTAAAAGCCCCAAAGGCAAAGATGTGGAAGACGGTGATAAATTCACATGCAATGATGACTTTAGACATAAGCTTTTCAGGATAAAGATCAACCAAATTCAAATGAAAGAAACGGTATATTCTTTTTAATCTTTCAGTTTCTAGAACCTTGGGTCAAGTCTCTGTTGCCTACTCATTTACAAATTTTTTTTTTCCCCCCCTCTCTCTCTCCTCTCAGCTGTAACATGTATATTGGTATCTTTGTAAAGGATACTTTGGATGATAGCACAGACATAACAGAGGGGGATTTAAATGTGAGCTGCCATACTAACTTAGATTCCAGTGATCCTAGATATCTCTAAGTAGTAAATGTTGTTCCGATGCTTGATCGTTATGTGGAGCTTTACTAAATGGTTTGTAAACATAGGAACAAGTTCGAATGAGTTTTCCCTTAATATTTTGCAGAGATGATATCTGCAGCAATTGTTAATCTATGAACAGCCATCCAGTGTAAAATCTGTGCAAAGATTTTAATTCCTTGCACAACTTTTTAAATAGATAACAGGTCTTCATACTTGTGAAGAATTTACATCAAATATTTGACAATTTAAAAAATCTTAGTATCCGACACTAAGAACGTTTCTGTCTTCGAGAAACAAAAATTGATTTGACAGTTCTGGTTTTTCTCCTAAAAACTTTTCTAAACGAATCCTCCAGGTAGAGGAACAGGCAAGCACTACAGAGAGAGTATTCCAGGACCGGCAATATCAGATTGATGCTGCAATTGTACGAATCATGAAGATGCGCAAGACATTGAGTCATAACTTGCTTGTGTCGGAGGTTTACAACCAGCTTAAATTCCCAGTAAAGGTGGAGTACGGATTTTTCTTGTTCTAAAAACGTTCTAAAATTGCATCTTTTTAATGTTCCCTTGTCTCTCTCCAGTTAAACAGTGTTTCTGTCCATAACATGAATCTTGTTACTATTAGGAAGGGCAAATATTTCACTTTGAGGAATTTTTAAAAGTGCCAGTTGCATTAATTTATCTGAATGTTATCTCAGGCTTTCAGTAAGTTCATAAAACCTATTACAAAATGTTTTCAGAACTGGGCATCTGTTGTCAGTAGTAGCTGTGAAGCTAACCCTCTTTGTTTATGTGTTGTCTTAAACTGTTCTTGCATTTCGTAAGTGCTCTGGCAATGCCTTCTTCTGGGGCAGGTGGAAATAGTTCAGATAAGCCACACAGAAGTGTTTTTGATTCTGCCTGCTTAGTTGACACTTTTTATAAATGAGTAAACAATACATATACAGTAGTTTTTTGGACAGATTATATTAGTTAACATGAGGAATGAAAATCAGATATTGGTGAGTGTCTCAAATCGAATGCAGCCCATATTTCTAATATAAAATTAAATAGCTTGGTTAGGTGTATAATTGGAAATCGATTTTCAAATAGAAAGTGATGCATGCACCTGTTTGTCTCCAAGATGAAGTATACAGTGCTTTCTATCAGTGGAAATAAAAGGTATTGCTTTTTTATTCTATTTTGTTACCACATTAAATTCCTGCGGGCCTGTACTAAGTACTACATAAGCTGCAGTTGGGCATGTAGGGATTTAACAGGTAACTTAAATGCTTTTTTTCCACTCTTTTAACATGAGGCAGTTTTAATGAAGTCTTTCACCCAACAAAATTATAGTGCACCCAAGCTATTGCAAAATGTACTCACATCAAGATAAAATTGTGTTGGAAAAAAGTCAGAGATAGAAACACGTTGGCAGGTAACACGAATTCCAGTTTTCAAAGTAGCATTCAATTTGAAAAGGAGCACGTATTTTTCAGTGCTGTAAATGGATTATGGTAGTTACAGGTGACAAGCTAATTCTGTAGCTTTCTCTTCAGTCAGTTATACACAGCATTTAAATTGATTCCTGTTTCCTCGGTCATCTTGAACAATGCGGATGTTTGGGTTATATGGAAAGAAAGAATTGAGGATTGTTGCACGCAAAATAGTAACACTGACAATCTGCTTTATTTTACAGCCTGCTGACCTTAAGAAGAGAATAGAATCCTTAATTGACAGGGACTACATGGAAAGAGATAAAGAGAACCCAAATCAATACAACTATATTGCATAAACATATGTTGGCCTTTGTTTTACTGCACACTTGGTGTCATACGCAATTGCCAGTGGATAAACTAGCCTGTTGATCCCGTTAATTGACTTTTTATACTACCGATGACTGAATGAAAGCAGTGTAATGGAAAAATATAGTAGAGTGGACTTCTTTCAGTGGTTAACATGCCCATTTAAAGAGTACTATTTACATTTTAAGAAGAATGCTGTTGAACTCTTTGCATGTTGTTTAGTGAGATGTGCAGAAGGCTGCAAGAAAGTACCTGGTCTTCGTGATTCCATTTGTCTCTGGGTCTGAAGAGGAGTCCCTTGATATATGGCAGATGTCTTTCACACCTTTAAACAGAAACAGAAGGTTAATTAATATAAGAAAATAGCCTTTAAAATGCTTAAACTGCATGCAAACTTTTAATTTACTGTACAGAATGCATTTCAGTTAGCAACATACCATTGGTTTGGTTGATACCCACACTTGGATTTTTCCCTTGAGGGAGGGAAAATGGGGAATAAGCCAAGCTGTGCTTATGATCTAGTGGAATATATTCTTGGACGCGATTAAGACATAATGGTACCAATATAAAATGATGTATAAAGTTTGCAGTGTGGGCATATATGTTATATATACAAACACCATTCTTAAATAACTGCTACAACAAAACAGATTCAGATCTATATTTATATGGCTTGCCTATAAAACTTAGTGTTCACCTTTGGGAATTTTAAGCATAAAACAGCCATAATGGAAAAAGTGACTTTTTTTTTTTTACTAGTCATGGGTAGGAGGCCTTCACCTCTTGGCAGCAATACTCTACAAAAGAGAATCTATGTAAAGATATTTATGAAAAGCCACACTGTTCTTTTGATAAAGCTGTAAGAACAAAAATTGCAAATGGGTTTTAATACTTGTTTTGCTTTGCAACATTCTAAACTTGAACTAACCTCAAGGTTTAGACAGGGCAGCTCTTAATACGACTGCCCTGCTTTGGATTGCTTTAACTTAAAGCTTTAAGAATTCAGCCCTAGATGTGGCAGGCCTCCTAGAACCCAGAAGCCTACCTCTCATATAAGAAAAGATAGTTAAGTATTGCTACGAGGCATCTAGAAGCTATTTCCTTAGATGACCAGAGAGCATTCTTTGCATCTTTATAAAACATGGGAGAATAAGTCACTTGAATGTAGAGCTTTGTTTCAATAGACGGATTTTTATTGCTATAGTAGTGTATGCCAGGAATATATGGGGGGAGGGGAAAAAAGTGTCACCAGAAAAGGTAACTCCTCCACGTAACAGTTCTTCCTTACCCAGCCAAGCTTTAGACCTACCATCAGCTGTGTTGCAGAGCACAATGAAAAACCTCATCCTCTTTCAGGCACTGACAGTCCTGGGGAACACCAGATATTTCTTGAAACAAGATGTTACTTTTGTTTAAAGGCAGTGTAACTTAACTCCTTATCTATAACTTTTATCACTGTGATCCCATATTCAGGGGGGTGTGTGTGAGAGGGGGAGAATGTGTGTGTGTGTGTATATTTATATATTGTATCTGACACATCCCATCCTTAATGCTTTTTTGATCCACTGTTCAATTCTGTATTTTCTCCAGCTGTGTTTTTCTCCAGTTCTTCTATAGACAGTCCTCAGTTGACAGATGAAGCAGATGTTTTCTTCCTACTAAATTAATTGCTGCCATCCACTACTAATTGTCATATAGCTCGTGATACAATCTGCAGAAAATCTACCTATCCCTTGATGCGATTGCAGCATAATCAC